CTTCCCTTGGGGAGAAGATCCTTACCTCTGATGATCCATTTGAGTTGGAGCATCACAGACTTGGGCTGAATATGGAGCTCTTCCTGTTCTTCAGACCACACGGGGTGTCCTTTCTTGGGGGTACCTCTCCATTCTGTACCTCCCACCACACCCAATCAGCCTGGCACCCACTGGTAAGATCATTGAAAGAGTTGTACTGATAACATTGCTGCCCTGATCAGAAACCATCAGTGGCTCCCCAACCCTCATCTAAGACAAGGGGGAAAGGGAGGATGAAATTCCAGGTTAGAAAGATGGTAAGAAAGACCCTAGGCCAAGGAATGAAATCTTTGAGCAAATTGGGAAATGCAGCAGTCATTAATGGAGTGTTGAAGAGGTCAGAGAAAAGTTAGTTTAAAGATTGCCAAAGAGAGACAGGGAATGAGCCGTGGGAGAAGAGCAAGGGTCCACAAACCACGGGGGCCTTGGGAATATCCCAGGAGGGGGCGGAGGGGAGGGTGGAGGTGCTCTCCAGGCTCAGATGGAAGACGGGGAAAGTCAAAGAAGAGGCTGAGGGTGGAAGGGTCCTTGCTTGCAATGGAATGGGCACTCCTGGCCTTTCCAAGAGCCCATAGAGTGGGGTCAAGGCTGAAATTCCTGGAGACTGGACCAGAGGGGACCCTAAGTGGGAAAAGCATGAGGAAGCAGGTGGTCCCATCTTGGGTGGGGTGGTAAATACCTGAGATATGATTTGGTACCCCCAGGAAGTGAGGAAAGAGAGTGGAAGAGTCCTGGGGAAGAAGGAGCTGGGGAGATAGCGAGGGGATAGTCAGGGGCAGGAAGGAAGGAGAGGAAACAAGTAAGGGGGGGATTTCCTGTGCCCGGAAGGAGGGTTCCTCTCTCAGGATCCTGGCAGAAGACTCAGGAAGGATTTCCTGGAGCTGGCACCCCTGTGCCCCACCCCTGCCCCCTGTGTATAGGTACCTAGCATCCCCACTCCGTCCCCAGGGTAGAGGTACCACCTGCTGACTGGAAGAAAATGCAGCACAGACCAGCCCGTAAGACCCTTGGATCTTGGTGACCAGGGAGATGGAGGGTTCACCCAGCCATGGTCCTAGGACCCTGCATCCAACCCCTCCCAGCCCAGACTAGCTGGGAGAGCCCCAGGGGCTGAGCGACCCACCCCCCACACCTGGTGCCATACCTGGCTTTGCTGCCATCGCTCAGGACATGGAGGCTGCAGCTGCATTGAGAGGGGCAGGCACCCTGGGTCTGTGGGGGCCCTCCGAGGGCCAGGAGCCAGAGCATGCCCACCGCCAGCCTCATGGCTCCTGGCTTCTCTTAGCCCAGGCAGGGGCCTGTCCCTCACTGCTCTGTCCTGCCGGCCCAGCCAACCCAGCAGCTGCCCACTGCTCATCGTTTGTCCACACCCCCACTTGAAGCCATCGGATAAGCACAGACAGGCTGGGGATTAGGGAGGGGAGCCCTGGCCATGCACTTAGCGGCTTATTGCTTCCTGGGATCACCCAGTCCTGAAGATGGGGGTGGGGGATCCCCTCTCGTGGCAGCAGCCACAGGCCCAGAAACGCAGGGCATGGCCAGAGATGGGCAGTCACCCAGAGGGGCAGGTGGCTGCTGGGCTGACTGGCAGGGCTGCCCACCTGCAAAGCCACTGCATGCCGGCCAAGCTATGACTGCACAGACCCCGCAGGGTGCCTGGGCTCAAAGGAGATGAAGACAGAACCCGGCCTCTAAAAAGGGCCCCTGGAAATTCTCTCAGTGACACTATGTTATAGTGAAAAGACAATGAGACAAGGCGGTGAAGGCATTAGAAAGAGCCCAAGCTCCAGGCCAGGTCAGCCAGGTTCAAATCTCAGCTCTTCCGTTCACAGGCTGTGATCTTGGACAAGTTACATGGCCTCTCGTGGCCTCTGTGTCCTTGTCTATCCATGAGAAGTAGCGTTACTCTACTCCAGGTGCTTATGAAAATTAAACAAGCCACGTTTCTCAGACCTTGACAGCCTGCAGGAACAGAGGCTTCTTGGGAGTAGTAAGTACCCTGCTTCACTGGTGCGTCCAAGGACGAGCTGGGTAGATTCAGATATTTGGGGGTGACCGCAAAGGTGTCTCCTATGGGCTCATGAATTCTCCCAGCCCACTGCCCTGAACACCCCATGGACACAGTCTCAGATCACTGCCATCTGAGCCTTATGGGCATTACCACCAATGGCAAAGGCACGAGGTGTCTTGGCCTGAGGGCAGCGAGCGCCCCTCACCTCTAGTTATCTCACTCTGAGAAGGGCTCCAGAGCAGGACCCCCCAGAGCTTTTAGAGAAGGAACTGTCGATTTCTACTGATTGGCCCTACCCTCAACCTCATCCCACCATCAACACCGCCTTCCCCTCATCCATTCTTCACATTTGACTCCAAGGCTTTGCTCTCTGGCCAGGCATGCCCTACCTGGATCTGATGGCTTTTCCAGAAGGTTCCTCAGCCCCATTGCCCCTGGGCATAGACAGACCTCCACCAGTGAGGTGTGACCAAGACAGGTACCTGGGGCCCCAGTACACACACAAAATGTCTGTGCCTGTTTTGACAACATTGGCTTCCAGGAACTATTGGTTCCCATTCCTTCCTCTCTTCCAATTCAGCCAAGATGATCTTCTCATTGCTTTCCACCTGTAACTCCTCCTCCCCAAACCAAAAAGCCAACCCTGCCCTTTACCACGTCTCTGGGTTTTCCTTCTTCTGTTGGGGATACCTTTCCTTCTCTCTTTTGCCTACCCAAACTCTAACCTTGATTCCTGGCCCTGTCCTTCTTTCTCTTCTCCCCTGAAGTCTTTTGTGATCTTGCAAGCATGAAAAATAAAAAAATCTGATCTGTGTTTCTGGTTAAAGTAATGCACGATAGAAATCAGGAAGGGCAGGGAGGACTCTGTGGTAACAGGGTTATCAAGGAAGGCTTCCAGAAAGGTGTAGAGGGTCAGCTCAGCCCTGAGTGTTGTTAGGCTTGGATATAAGTGAGGATCAACAGGAGAACGGACATGGGGAATGAACACTTACAGAATAAAATGAACTGCTTGACAGGGAGCTGTAGGGGTAGGAGATTGGGCTTCTTTTCCAGCTCCACCTGTGAATCAGTGTATGACTTCAGGCTAATTCTTAACTGCATTGAGCCTCAGTTTCCTCACAGGAAACTAAAAGGATGATGGTATCTAATTCTTGGAGATGTTGTAAGAATCATCATAAGATCATTTAGCACAGTACCAGGCCCTTGGCGAGCACTCAGTAAACATTAGCTATATTGCTAGTGTCATAGGGAAGAACAAACCTGACTCCCTATTTGTAATAGATCCGTTTCTTTGTTTCTTTTACTTTAACGTTTGTTACTCTTTTGCTTTGGCTTTGAGTTAAAAATGTTGCCTACAGGGGGATCCCTGGGAGCCTAGTGGTTTAGGATTCCAGGCTTTCAGGGCTGTAGTCTCAGTTCAAACCCTGATGGGGGAGCTGAGCCATGCAGTGCAGAAAAAAAAAAAAGACTATTGCTTATAACCTGAAATACACAGGGGAGCCCGTTCTCAAGGCTCTGACCTTTAAGGGTTTAACACATTTCCTTTTGTATAGAGATAAAAAGTTGTATAAAGACAGGGACATTTGTCTTTTGAAGGAACAGCTGTAGGAACAAAGGATTGTGACACCAAGAAATTTGCAGCAACCAACCACACCCCCTCTTTACCTTGTCTTTAAAAATGCTTTGCTGAAACTCTTTGGGGAGTTTGGGGTGTTTGGGGCAAGAGCCACTTGTTCTTCTTTCACGGCCCTGCACTAAACTTTTCCCTACTCCAAACTCTGACGTTTCGGTTCCTGCATTGGGTGAACGCAGCGTTGGATTCTTTGTAATATTAATAGCAGCACTCTGGGCCTTGGTTTCTTTATATGAAAATGAGTTCAGTTGTTGTGGATAAGTGTTTTTTTCTTTCTTTCTTTTTTGGCTGTGTTGTACAGCTTGTAGGATCTTAGTTTTTCAACCGGGGATTGAACCCGGGCCTTGGCAGTGAAAGCACAGAATCCTAACCTCTGGACCACCAGGGACTCCCCAGAGTTAGTGTTTCTTAATGTAAATGTCACTATAAGCCAGTGTGTAACTTGTACCAGGACCTCATTTATAGAAGGCAAAGTTCTTAGTGGGTCATGGGCCACTTAGGGCAGCAGCTCCTCTGTCTCAAGCCGGTGCCTTGGGAGATGTTTATCCTTGCACAGGTTAAGTGCTCTATGGGACACAGGAAATGAAGCCTAAGGCTATATCCGTGATGTATTCTTCTGATCAGGACTTACACAGGTCAGGGTGGGTGGAGAGGAGTGGGGAGGGGGTTGGGAGATGCTTACTTTGCAAAAGAGACAACTGAGATGACCCCAGTAGGCCTGCCCCAGGGACATAGGCAGTTAATGGATAGTTCAGAACCAGAAGCAGTCTCCAGTCCCAGCTGGAGCTCCTTGCATGACAGCAAGTGACTTCCAACTGTCACTCTTTACCCGTGGCTTGCGAGCATTCACATGAGCCCCGGTGGACACCATACACGTGTACACACGTGCACACAGGTGCTTAGCCTGTCGGCGCCTGCAAATATGGGAGGGCCTAGCTCCTGACCCGCTCTCAGGCTTGGCTGCAGCTCAGATCCCCCCTCTGCTCCCCATCCCGCCCCTCGTTATGCAACTCTTTTCTAATTCAGCTTTTGGCCATACACCATTTGGATTCTGGGTCCTTAATCCGATGGAGCTGAAATGAATGAGGCCGGACTCCGTGCTAGCTTCACAAAGACTATACTGTCTAACTGATGAATGGGTTCCTTCTGTCCGGGCCAAGAAGATGATTTGGAGGGCCAGGGGGCAGCAAAAAAGGAACCCGATGTCTAGCATAATACCCTGCATGTGCCAGCACGTGGAATGGCCCTTTATAACAGAGGAGCCTGGGTTGGGGGAGCCACAGAAGAGCTGGCTCAGCTGAGAGAAAGGCAGAGAGAATGGCAGAGTCCGGGACCCTGCCCATTGGCTTCGGGGAGCTGGAGGTGCTGGCCGTGGGGACGGTGCTGCTGGTGGAAGGTGAGCCAGGCAGGAGCTGGGGTGGAGTGGAACTCAGCAGGCCCCCAGAATGCAGGTCACAGCTGCAAAGCTGGCAAGGAGAAGTCCCCAAACCATACTCCTCTGTGCTTAAACCCACAGGGTCTTCGGATGGCTGCACCCGCAGGCTGCAGCTTGCAGCCTGGGAGCCAAGAGAGAGAAGCCAGGCATGGGACAGGGAGGGAGGGATTTTGAGAAGGCGATGTCTGCCCAGGGCATGACCAAGAACCAGGCCTTTTCATGTCCCTCCTGTCAGGAGAAAGTTCAATCCACTCCCTGGAAATCCTGCTAAGAATCTCATATAAGATCAGGCCCCTGGTAGGCTGTGAAGACAGTCAGCTCTGCCACCTGCTGTCTGAGTCACTGAAACCAAGACACCTGGGCTCTCTGAGCCTCAGCACCCTGACATTCCAAATGGGTGGTGGTGAAGGTTAGATGTGATCAAGGTATTAAGTTTGCCTAGACAAACCCAAGTATTCAAGTTCATTCACTCCCTTCCAGCCCCACATTACTTTCACCATCTTCTGGCCCTCAACCCTAAGCACTTCCACCCTAGGGGCGACCTGGGTCCGTGAGATGTGAGCTTCAACCCAAAATCCCTAAGATGCTCACTGAGGCCAGGGCTGGACCAATAGACCCTAGAGTTGGGTGAGCCCAAGTCTAGGTCAGTGGGGGCTGTAGCCTTTGTTCAAAGCAGATTCAGAGACAAAATCAACACATTTGAGAACTGAAAGTAGAGAGGGAACAGCAGCCACCAGGCTGGCCCTGAAGCCCTGGACCCCGGACCCCATCGTCTGGTGGCCTCAACCCCCTTCCCCTCCTCTGGGAACCCTGCAATCTAGCATCCCTCTAGGTCCTCAAACGTGTCTTGAAAGTTTACAGCTTTATGTTTTTGTATGTGCTGGTCCCTCTTTCTAGAATGCTCTTCCACACCCTGTCTTCGTCCTGTCCTCCCTGTGAAGGCTCACAGTTTGGAGGCAGGATCCACCCCATTTCTCACTTCACATGGGAGAAGCTGAGGTTCGGGGAGCCTAAAGGAGCAGCAAATGAGTGACAAAGCTGAAATTCAAGGTTGGGTCTGTCTGCCACTGGACACCACCCGCTTGAAGCTCACCTCACTGCTTGGGGTCCTGGGAAGCTCCCAGTTCTATGTTGCCTCCTCCTCTCTGAGGTTCTCCCTAACATTGTTCCAGAGTCCTTGGAAAGGGCATTTTGGAATTTGAAAAAATTTCAGTTCAAGTCCCAGCCCTGCCCCTTACTAGCTGTGTACTTAGGCCAACATCTCTGAGCCTTGGTGTCTCTATGGCAAGTCGGGAGGACAGTGTCCAGGTGAAGACTGACTGGGAGGATCCATGCAAAGTGCTCAGGCGGGCACGTGATAGGTGCTCAGTGGCTATCTATAACGGTGATTGTGCTGGCACAAACTGTGCTGCACTTGGCTGATTTTCTTCCTCGTCGATCTTTCTATCAGACTGTGCATTGGTAGAGGGCAGGGTGTACATTTCATGGCTTTCAGTATCTGAGGGCCAGCCCGCCTCATGGGCACTTGATGAGCTTCAAGGAGATGGGTGCTGAGTGTGAGGGGATTGGGGGGTTGCAGAGGGCCCATCCATTCCATGGGCCCTCATTCTGACCCCAGGAGGGCCTCGCAACCCCAGTGCCAGCTCTCCCCTTCTTTTCAGCTCTTTCTGGCCTCAGCCTAAACATCCTGACCATCCTCTCTTTCTGCAAGACCCCAGAGCTGCGGACCCCCAGCCACCTGCTGGTGTTGAGCTTGGCGCTGGCCGACACTGGGATCAGCCTGAACGCCCTCGTTGCAGCCACATCCAGCCTCCTCCGGTACCTGCCCCCACCCTAGTCCCTGGGCTCTGGGGCCTGACCTCAGGGCCCTGGGCAGCAGGCCAGAGACATGTTTCCTACCTGTAGAAAGCTATAGGGGAGAGGGTGGGCAGACCAAACTAGGGTAAAATCTGAATTCCAGACCATGCCTGCAGAACCACAGCTGATTTCTGGAACACAGGAGTTCCTTGGACCTGACCATCAGAGCAGGCTGACTGTGGGGACTAAGCACCTGGGCCCTGCAACCAGGCTGCCTGGGTTGGAATCCTGACTTCATTATTTCTATCTCTCTGTAAATTACGTGTTATTACCTAACTAGTATGGTTGTTGGAGGTATTATTTGTAAATCATTTAAAGCAATGCTTGGCACCTAGGAAGCCTTAAACAAGTATTTGTGAAAGCAAACAGGATTTTGACAAGTGTCTAAGATCTTACGTGACCAGGGTCTTCCAGTGTGGTCTAAGAAGGTGTTTATAGGATTGTTTTCTTAAGCAGATGGATCATTCCTGTGGAAGCTAGAGCCACCCCTGCGTACAGAGGCTCAGGGCTGACTCTGCAGGGTCTGAATCAGTGAGGATTCCCTGCCCTGTGTCCTCCTGCACCTTCTCAGGGTGGGGGATGGGCAACTGAAGCTTCCGCCCTGCTTGACCTGTGGGGTCAGAAGTTGGGAGGCCTGGGGTCTACCCTCTGACTTTGCCTTTATGTGCTGTGTGACATTGGCTCAGTACCTCTTCCTCTCTGAGCCTCAGGCACGAGCTCTCCTCCCATCATGTTGCATCCTGTGATACAGGCACCTGCTCACCAGGGAGACTCTTTGGTCCAGCCCAGGTGCCCCTTCACCCCAGTGGCTCAATCTCTAAGGCCTCAGTTTCCTCATAGAAAAACAGATACTAAAGCCCTTTTCTAAGGAGCCAAAGGTGCCCTCCAAGCTGCTGACCAGCAGGTGAGGGAGGAGGACAGGGGCGAGGCGGAGGGGTCACTGGTGCCCCGTGTCTCCACAGGCGCTGGCCCTATGGCTCAGAAGGCTGCCAGGCTCACGGCTTCCAGGGCTTTGCCACCGCACTGGCCAGCATCTGCAGCTGCGCAGCCATCGCCTGGGGGCGCTATCACCACTACTGCACCCGTAGGTCTCTGGTTCCACATACCGAGGGGGGTCAGAGCGAAGGTCTGCTCAGCATTTCCCAGTCCAGGGAAGCGTGGGTGGGTGTAAGTGTGCCTGAGTGTGGGGTGCAGTCCCCCAAGAAAGGGAGAAGGGTGGGAGAGCGCAGGAGAGATGCAGGTTCCCTGTGCCTTCACTGCAGCCTCAGGCAAGTCAGGGGTCCTCTGTGAACCTTGGTCTCCTCCTCTGCAAGGATGAGTTTTGTAACCAACGTCACAGTTTTATTTGGAAAATCAAATGAGATTCTGGATACAGAAGATGCCCTTGAAGACAGGCACTGTTGGGAGGCAGCAGAGAGGTGGTGTGTGTGAGAGAGACTGGGCACCTGCCTTGGCACCTCACACTTTCATGGAAATTCTGCCATGCGACGGCTTCATGAAAAAGAGTCTAGTTCAAGATTTCCCAAGCTGTACTGTCAAATTCCCTCTTCATAATTAGACATATAAGTGTACCACCTGCTTTATTATTTACCTGATGTTTTTCTTAAGTGACTCATTTTCTTAAATTGAAACAACTGCTTTAGTCTCATTCTAAATAGTATCTGTGAAATCACAAAGTTAATGTCATAATTTTAATACACATAAAGGTAAGAAACACATTCACCCATGTAGAATCTCACTCACCATGGGAGAAACATAAACATTCTTTGGGGGCTGTGGCCCAGTCACCCCTCACGCAAACCCCCAGCATGCAGACTGGGCAACACTGGTTCAGAGAAATCAAGTAACTTGCCCTGAGTCACACGGCTACAGGAGCCAAGCTGGGATTGTGCATGGCCTGGATGCCTCAGAGGGACCTCCCCTTGGTCTCCTGGACTCCGAGTCCTAATTCCCTGGCACAGAGGTTACTCTGGGGCTCACAGCTAACATGGCCTTGAGCCATGAGCCTCAGTCCTTTGGAACTGCAGATCTGCCCCATGGACACACGGCTCACTGCCCTCAACAATGTCACATGCTTCTCTTCAGGGCCAAAAACACAAAAGCCTTTGTTCTCTGCTAATGCTGACTCCTATCTGCCTCATCTGACCTTGGACCTCCTCTTCCACTACTTCTTTTTTTTCTTTTTTTTTCTCTTCCACTGCTTCTATCCCAGCCCTGTCCCCAAACCTTCCGCAGACCATCACTCACATGTGCATGCACACCTGTCTCTTTGCCATCTCCCTCTTTCTCTCTGTTCTCTAAAGAAGATGGTACAGAGTGTCTCTAGGAGACTTCCACATCCATTGTCTCTTTTATTCTTCATAACAATCGTCGGAGGCAAGGATTATCATTCCCAGTTATGAAGGAGCAAACTGAGGCTCAGAGAAACTTAACTTGCCTGAAGCACTGTGCTGCTAAGCATCAGAGCCAGCATTTAAGGACAGTCCACGTGACCACCAAGTCCATTATTTTTTCACTCTGCCAAGCTACCGCCTCCCCTCCATCATCCTCCTCCGGTGTCCCACCCAGGCAGCCGACTGGACTGGAACACGACCGTCTCCCTGGTGCTCTTCGTATGGCTGTCTTCTGCCTTCTGGGCGGCGCTGCCCCTCCTGGGCTGGGGCCACTATGACTATGAGCCGCTGGGGACCTGCTGCACCCTGGACTACTCCAGGGGGGACAGGTGAGGTGTGGGGAGCAGCTCTGAGGCTTCTTTCCATGGGAATCTGGGCTTTGAGCCTCTAGGACAACAGGTTGTCAGCTGAAAATCCCAATGGGGACGTGCCAACATCTGCCAGACAGTGTCGGCTCCTTAGCCATGATCCCCATGTATAAGTTGACAGTGGGACTAAGGAAAGCCCATTTTGAAGATTGGCCAAGGGATGGGAATGTTGTGCCAGTTGGGGTGCAGAGTCGGGCCCAGAAGGGATCCTTTCCAGGGAGCTGTGTTGGTTATAACAGTCGCTGAGCCCTGTGACCCCTTTGCCACCTTCAGCGCAGTCAGATCCCAGCTCTGATTTATTGACTCCTACAGGGAGCCATAGCCTTGGTTCTATGGTGTCAAAGAACGTTAAGGTCTTTGCCTTGGGAGGGGCCTCTTTGGCATTGAGAACAGTTCTCTGGATTCTCAGCATTTGCTGTGGGCCAGGCCCTGGAGAGACGGCCCTAAATGCATGATGGCATCAGGAGCACTCATCTAGTACTGCCAGGTCCACTGGGCTCTGGGGAGTCCAGGGCTCCCTCTAGGGGCTGCCTTGGGGAGGGACCACACGGGCTCCAGCCCTGATATTGCTTCTGCTAGAGGCACACTGCATTCATCTGCTTGACGTGTTTATTCATGTTTACTCATTTATCTATTTGGCTGCGTTGTGTTTTAGTTGCAACAGGATCTTCCATTGTAGCACACAGGCTTAGTTGCCCCATGGCATGTGCGATCTTAATGCCTGGACCAGGAATTGAACCCACATCCCCTGCATTGCAAGGTGGCTTCTTAACCAGTGAACTGCCAGGGAAGTTCCTATTCGTGTTTATTCATAATGCACCTGCCCTATGACAGGCTTCTCAGGTCAAACCCACTGGAGAACGCAGGGTCTGGTCTGATGTCCTCCAGGGAGTCCCTGCAGGTATCCCCGCTGGTGCCCAGCTCTTCTGGCAGCGCTCCCTCCCACCCCTCCTGAGTGGACGGCAGCCAGGTGATGTGGTCTCCGCCGCACAGAACGTCAGCCTGCCCCCCTGTGACTCCCACCTGCTCCTGGTCAGCCCTTGGGCCTCCCCATGACCACTACCTGGGACCCCTGGTTCTTCCCTGGTCCCTTCAATGATTTCTTCAGTGATACAGTGTCCAGTCTCATCCACAGAGCCCTTCCAGACCCGTGCCAGAAAGCTCCTTGAATGATCTTTCCTCCTGGTCAACTGACATCTCCATTTGCTAAACACATTTCCCGAACAAATTGTCCCGGTCTCCGTGTTTGGGGCACATAAGAGAGAAGGCTGAGCCGCTGAACTGCCCAGCAGCAAGCTGAAGCCGGACTATCCTTTGTCCCAGCTCCTTGGCCTAAAGGCAGGTTCTAGGAGGACCTCATAGCTCCTGGTTCCCAGGAGAGTTCAGCTGGGACCCCGGAGCACCCACACTCTGAATACTCACCTGATGGGAGGAGTTCCCTGCATCTGACTGTCTAGCCCGAGTCTGATGGGCCTTCTTGGGCAACTGATCATCTCTGAGAGGCAATTCTTGACTTCCCCGTCCCCTCTGCCTGCAGAAACTTCACCAGCTTCCTCTTCACCATGGCCTTTTTCAACTTCCTCCTGCCCCTCTTCATCACAGTCGTATCCTATCGGCTCATGGAGCAGAAACTCGGGAAGACCAGCCGTCCCCCGGTAAGGATCAGCTCCTCAAGGAGGAGAAACACCAGGGAACGTGAACGATGTGACTGCAATCAGGGGTTCTCTGTGTTTTCAATGATCAAGAGAGAAATCTAGCTTTGTATGTAGAGCGTGGGGTGTTAGGGCAGAAACACACCCTCCCCTCCCATTGCTGGAGATCACCAAGACCAGAGAGGAAGAAGCAGAACTGCTCAGATTTACCCAGACCCCATAATACTGAGAGACAGGGAGTCCTAGTGGACATCATCCTTGCTGTTACCCTTGCTTCTTCCCAAGGATATGAAGATTGACACAAAATTTCATGCATTTTAAATGGCTTCAGGATGTTTCATTTAACGGCAGGCACAGACTGTTACCCACAAAGTAAAATCACACCTGCAAGCACATTTGTCCAAGAGAAACAATGATTCAAAATAAGCCCTCCTGGCCATTGCTCAATTTCTGCACTAATATCCTCTTGCCAGGATTGTTTTTTAATTACCTGAACAGTCTCTAGCAGATGAGTCATAGCTCTAAAGATTCAAAAAACAAAAACAAGCTTAAAAAACATCAGGTACTAATGCAACTTTATGTGCATTATATCATTTCAATTTTGCACCCACGCTCTGAGGAAGGAAGGCTTTATTGTCCCTGTGTCACAGTTTAGAAAATTGAGACTGAAAGGGGCTATTAGCTAAGCAACTGGTCAAAATCAGCGCCATTAGTAGTAGCAGCATTGGATCAAACCCAGGTCTGGGGCTCTATCACTCAAGTGGGCAATCCTAGTGCATAAAAGAAGCACTCTCTTTGTTGAAACACTTCATCTGCCACATTTTTTCCCCTGGTGAATTGGAAAAACACTTTACCAGCTGATTGTAGCTGTGGACCCAGGTTTTCCTGGTCACAGGAGGGCGAGGGCTGTACAGGTGTTCTGTTCATCACCGCCCCACGGTTGCCTGCCTCCAGGTTGCGCCCGCCCGTATCCCTGCCTGGGAGCTCGAAGTCGCCACATTTATTGGAGGTTCAATGGGCCAGCAGGCAAGGCTACCACACGGATTTTCTCATTTTTCCCAGTTGACTTGAAACCATCCGTTTCACTAGCATCAGCAGGGATCGCCACGCACTGTCCCAGGGACCTCAGATGCGAGCTTAAGTTACCGTCTTTGTTAAAGGGCGACATGGTCGGTTAGAGAATAGGCACTGATTTTTAGCGTCAGAATTTTAACCTCTGAGTGTATGTGGAGAATCGTAATTTCGCCAATTCCATTCTGAAAATAGTACGGAGATCGTGCGCCCTCCTGTGGCCACTTGTGGTACCACGTCGCCCGCCGCCTGGTGGTTTCAGGATCTCGCAGGGTGGAAAGCGGCCGCTTTGAACCCAGGACAGGTTGAGCCGCCAGTGAATGCAGGAGCTGGTTGCAGTGTAGTTCTGGGACAGAGTTGTGAGGGCAGCTCAGCCTGGGGACCTTTATACACACAGCCACACTCACGCAGCCCCGGGTTTCTCAGAGAACACACCGAGAAGGAAGCGAATCCTCTACTCCGGTCGCTGCCTCCAGGCAAGTCAGGCATATCAGACCACTTCATGGACAAGGTCACTGAGGTCAAGAAATGCGAGGCCTCGGGTCAAGCATCTTAAACAGAAGAGAGGTTCAACTGGTCCCAATTTCCTCCACAGGCTCAGCACCTTCCCACAGCCCTGCCAAGCTGGTCCTGGGACCTCGTGGGGCTGCCGGCCACCTGAGCCAGTCAATGCCTACCTCCTTTTAAAAAAAAAAAAAATAGAGAATAATTGCTTTACGATGTTGTGTGGTTTCTGCCATACAACAACGTGAATCAGCCATAAGTATACACATGTCCCCACCTTCTTGAACTTCCCTCCCACCTCCCACCCCATCCCACCCCTCTAAGTTGTCGCAGAGCTCCGGGTTGAGCTGTGTTATACAGTAACTTCCCCCAGTTATCTGTTTTACATACGGTACTGTGTATGTTTCAATGCTATTTTCTCAGTTCTTCCCACCCTTTCCTTCCCTGCTGTGACCACAAGTCTGTTCCCTGTGTCTGCATCTCTATCTCCGCCCTGCAGACAGGTTCATCAGTACCATTTTTCTAGACTCCATATATATGCATTCATATAGGATATTTTTTTTTTTTCCTGACTTACCTAACTCTGCATAACAGGCTTTAGGTTCATCTACTTCACTGGAACGGACTCAAATCCGCTCCTTTTTATGGCTGAGTAATAGTTCATTGTATATACGCACCACAACTTCTTTATCCATTCATCTGTCATTGAGCATCTAGGTTGCTTCCACACCCTGGCTATTGTAAATAGTGCTTCAGCGAACACTGGGGTACATGTGTCTCTTAGAATTGTAGTTTCCTTGGGGTATATGCCCTGTGGTGGGATTGCTGGGTCACATGGTAGTTTTAGCCCTAGTTTTTAAAGAACTCTCCATCCTGTCCTCCACAGTGGCTGTATCAGTTTACATTCCCACCAACTGTGATGCCTCCCTCCTTCACCCGTGTCTCCCCAGGTGAACACCGTCCTGCCAGCCAGGATGCTGCTGCTCGGCTGGGGCCCCTACGCGCTCCTGTATCTGTACGCCACCATCGCGGATGCAACCTCCCTCTCCCCCAAGCTGCAGATGGTACAGACGCCACCAGTACTCCAGTACCTGCTCCCTATCTGTTTACCTATTTCTCCCCATCTCTCTCTCTGGCTTTATAGCCTCCATGATCACTCGCTCTTCCTCTTTTCCTCTGAAAGCTCATAACTCACTGGGTATTTGCTTGTCCCCCTGGTCACATGGGGCCACTGCTTGACATTGCCCAGGCCTCACGTGAGATGTCAGGGACAGCCAGCCAGATGGTGATGCACACACTCTGGGACCAGGGGCGGAGAGTGGTGTCTGGGGAGGAGCAAGGTTCCACGCACCATCCGGCAACTAGTCAGAGAAGGCTTAGAGGCTGCAGAGTCAAGCCAAGGGCAGATGCTTGGCAGCTGAGACGGGGTGGGGGGCTGGGATGGGTTAGGGAGGGGGGATGGTGGTCACCCATAGGGACCCGGGAGAGGAGCAGAGGCTCTGAAACTTCTTTCCTGGATTTCTCCATCACAACAGGTGCCCGCTCTCATTGCCAAGACAATGCCCACAGTCAACGCCGTGAACTATGCCCTGGGCAGCGAGATGGTGCACAGGGGGATCTGGCAGTGCCTTTCGCCACAGAGGAGAGAGCGCAACCGGGAGCAGTGAGCCTCGCTGGGGGGCTGCCCAGACCCAGGCCCACCCAGGCCTTCCTGGACTGAGCCCCTGCCTGGGGAGTCCTGTCCAGCAGCCTCGGGAGCCAGGCTCCAGACACTCACCCTTCATCCCTGATGGCCCTTTGAGCCTGGCCCAAGGCCGGACACAGGGGAGTCAGAGGAAATCCAGACTGCATGGAACAAGCCCAGACTTTGGAGCCACACGGACCTGTGTTGGCCATAGCTGAAAGACCTTGGAAAAGTCACACTCTCTGAACTCAGCTTCCTGGCCCCTAACGGAAGGATGTTAATATGGACGTTGGGTCTGCCATGAAGCTTGAGTGTGATAGCGTATACTCACATGCACATAGACGCTGCTGCTCATTAGTACAGCTCTTAGGATTCAGAGACTTACATAGAAAGGGGTGGAAGTCCAGGTTTGTCTGTGGGAGCTCAACCCAGGCTGCCAGCATTCAAACACCTCTTATTAAATCGTGATCTCATACAGGTGACTTACACTTCCTGGGCTTGTGTTTCCAATTTGTGAGGCATGATGACAGGAATAGTGACTTGACCATGCAGAAAGGCCCAACACCTTACCAGGCACATATGAAGTGTTCATCAAGAGTCGCCATCACCACCCTTCAGTTAAGACAGCTGGCTGCACGTTACTTAGTTGCCAACATAAAAAAAAATCAGGACAATTTGTTTAGAACTTCAGACATCTGAAGGGGAGGCCCCACCAGCCTGGAGGAGACTCCAAGGTGACGGTTTGAGGCAGAGTGGCTCTGCCCACTGCTCAGGGCATGTGCTGTCCCATCAGCTGCAGCTCGTGTGTTCCCTTCGGAGCCCGTGGCATCTGAGTCTGAGACACTCGTGCTGGGGTCCCCACTCCTGGATGCACCTCTGCATCTCCCATGGGCTCAGCCCCTCAGGGACAGGGCGTAGCACGTGCACAGGCCTGGATGGCACCCGTGGTTCTGGGGGGAAGTGGAGATGGGTGGAGGATGGTTGAGGGCGCTGCAGAAGGTCTGACTATGGAGGGGCAGCTGCCCCAGGCACCACCTAGGCAGGAAGTCTGAGAGCCAGTCTCGTGGAGCTGAGGGAAGGAGCTGCCAAGTCGCTGGGGTGGGCGTGCGGGAAGGTCATGAGAACAGCATCTGAGGACCCCAAAGACCAGGATCTGCCTCTTGGTTTTGCAGATGTAGAAAATCAGGCCACAGAAACACCAGACGAGAAGTCTGCACAAAACAGAGGCTTGTTCAGTCATTTTGCAGAACCTTGTGGGGTGGGGAGAGGACGAAGTCTTTCACAGCACTGTTTCCAGGCACTGTGGAGACAAGATATCACTTGGCCTCACTCCAGCACCCACCCAGGGTTCTTGCCTTGGCCCCGGAGTGGGGCCAGGGTGGGGAAACCCTGGGGCTTGAGCCAGGCTCACATACAGACTGAAAACACAGGAAAGCAATGGGTTCTGGGGCCCAGACATGCTGACCCTGCCCGCACAGCCCATGGACCTTAGAAGCACTAAGTCCCTAAGGAGGACGAGGGGGCAGAGTGAGAAGAGCGGGGAGATGTGCCCCAGGCTCCAGGAGAGAAGGGCTGGAAGGTACGGGCGGCTGAAGGCTCCAGCAAGAGTGGCCCATGTCCCTAAGCAGATGGCACCCCTGCCTGTGCTCAGAGAGGAGGGCAGGGAGGCCGGCTAAGTGGGCGTGGCCAAGGAAGGCATTACCTTGAGCCCGTTTCCCCAAGTTGTATCTGTCCAGAGCTGGGATGGTGGGCTTGGGGCATCTCCACACTGAGCTGGGTTGGCCGGAGATGCGAGGGACTGTCAGCACCTGGTGGGGAACGACCAGAGCCCCACCTGAAAGTATGAATTCAGAAGCCCCAAGCCCACCCACACCCCTGCATCTCGCGCATGGGCTGGGTTTAGGGAGCCTCGTCACCTTTAGGTTCCACGCCTGGGATTATATAAAGCCCAACTTAAAAGCCACAAAATTTGTGTCCTAACAGTGACCCCTCTAAGAGCCATTGATTCCAGAGTTTATTTAAGCTCTTTTTAAAAGAAATATAAATTAGGAGATTGGGATCGACATATAAACACTATTGATACTAGGCATAAAACCGATAACTAGTGAGAACCCCCTGTATAGTCAAGGGACCTCTCCTCAGGGCTCTCCTGTGATCGAAATGGGAAGGAAATTAAAAAAAAAAAACAGGGAATATACGTGTACATATAGCCGATTCACCTTGCTGTGCGTTAGAAACGAATACAGCATTGCAAAGCAACTATACTCCACTAAATTTTTTTTTAAATAAATATAAATACAGTGGAATAACATGCCCCCATCTCACCCCATCTTCTTGCTGGGAAAGATGACTCTGCCTATTGAAAGATGGACTTGAATTAAAGTTACAAATACAGTAGCAAGTTGTTTCTGAGGTAAAAGAATGTATGATCTCTGGCCTCCTCCCCAATATCCCCCATTGGAACAAGTTTCCTGGGGAGAGAAGGACTTCATACCTGATTGATTAGCGAAAGAAAAAAAAAAGAAAGAAACAAATTACTTATGGCCTAAACTATGTCTATATTTTCTCCTAAAAGGCTTTTGCAAATTTTTCACATGGGAAAATTTAACAGCTAGGTAGTTGGCCTCATTTATTTACATCTTTCCCCTTGCCACAAAATTGAAAGGATTTCTGTCGTTTTCCCTGTTAGAGATTGTCCTAGTTCAATTTTTTCAAATACAAGCTCACTCTCGCACTGTATCCTGAATTGTTTTTCCCATATCAGTAAATATCATTAATATTTGCCCTGTCATAAGCTTAGATGAAGAGAGAAGGTGGTGGTGAAGATGGGGGAGAGCCACGTGCCCTGTGATAGGCAGAAGTCCTTACCTCAAAGATAAGGATGATGAAGTGCCTAGTTTCTACCACAGGGTGGCGCTGCTAACTCAATGATCAATTAATTCGACCTGGGCCTCCAGCCCAGGAGATGTCTCTTGAAGAGCAGGGAGGTGTCTCACAAGGCCGCTTGGGTGAATCATAGATTTCTGCAGGATACGACAAGCTTTCTTTTCTGCTCTTGTTATAGAAGCGTGATGTCTACTTGCTTTCTCCTCCAAGTAATGTTATGATTCCACATCTCCCCTTGAAGGGCAAAGAATTGCACGCCCACCGTCCACAGGACTCCCAGAGGGCCATAGCCAGCTCCCCTTTTCTCTGCCTACAGAACGGTCATTGACACTGCAGCCGGATGTCAACCTCTCAGGTCTCCCCTTGCATGGGATGAGGTTAGGCGGTCTGGTCTGGCTTCTGCCTCTAAATTGTGAGAAGTTGGGGCAGTGCCTGAGTTTTTCTTACTTGGAAAGCGGAGGTGATATACCTTATGCCGATACTGCCTGTGGAAACACGCTGTAAACTACAGTCTTTACAAGGACTGCACACAGAGAAGCAGCTTGAGCCTCAGTCGAGGTGCCATAAGCGGCGTTGGGTGATGGGAAAGAGCTCTGGGAAAGCCCCGGGAGAAGGCCAAAACCACACTCCTTAAGTCTTCCCTGTCCTCTTGGTTGAGGTAACTTGCTGCTTCCCTCTTAGTACTGCTCCCTGGAGGGGGTCTAAAGGAAATCAGTCCTGAATATTCCCTGGAAGGACTGATGCTGAAGCTGAAACTCCAATACTTTGGCCACCTGATGCAAAGAACTGACTGCCTGGAAAAGACCCTGATGCTGGGAAAGATTGAAGGCAGGAGGAGAAGGGGACGACAGAGGATGAGTGGTTGGATAGCATCACCGACTTGATGGACATGAGTTTGAGCAAGCTCTGGGAGCTGGCGAAGGACAGGAAAGCCTGATGTGCTGCAGTCCATGGGGTCACAAAGAGTCAGACACGACTGACCGACTGAACTGAACTGGCCGGGACACCGCACACCTGTTCCCTCCCCCGCTCCCTGCAGCTGCTGCCACAATGGCCTCCATTGTGTCCCTGCGAGGCCTCCTCCATCCAGCTGCCCTTCCTTTTGCAGCTGTCTAGGTGAGAGACAGCCTGGCAGCTTAGAAAGCACTTAGGTGTGGGTATCAGAAAGACCTGGTGTGAATCCAGGATGGGCCTTTTATTCAATGTGTGACCGAGTTTGACCAAGTTTCTTATCTCTGACTTTGTTCCGCTCCCACCAAAATGACCTTGTTGGGGTGGCATATTTTAAAGCACATAGTATGTAGTGAGTATTCAATAAATACTAGAGTCCCACCTTATCAGTGACTCCCTGAGTTTTACTATTACTCAAGAAGGGGGCATACGGAGAAAAGAAAGAGGTGTACAGAAGAATTATGATTGAGTGATGGTTATATGCAACATGTGTCACCTCCACAACTTTATTTAGTTCCCCCATCATATCCTCAAACTCCTTGGCACCTTTGAGCCATCTTGAGACCTGGCCATTCAAAGTGGTCCCTGGACCAGAAATATCTGAATGCTTGTTAGAAATGCAGGTTCCCAGGCCCCACCCCAGACCTCCCGAATCCAAATATGCTTTTGAGATAACCCCCAGGACCTCTGGGTGCATCTTAAAGCTTGAGAAGCACAGTGGAGCTTTACAGACAGTGATGTCTGGTTTCCTCCCGTGGAGACTGTGATGTAATTGGTCTGAAAGGCTGGCTGGGCTTGAGGCTTTTAAAAGCTCCCAGATGATTCTCTTGTGCAGCCAGGATTAAGAACCATTGATTAGAGGTGGGGGTGGGGGTTATGGACACTCATTTTATGAAGAGTGATTTAGCTGAGCTTTACTCTGAGTCAGCTCTGAGGCCATTCTTTGCTCTTTTATATGAATATGTTATATGTATACACACACATATATGTATCTCCACACACACATATGCATATACTTTTCTCTCTAGAAGTTTATTTCTTTGTTACTCATGGCCATCTTACCCTATGACTTGCTCTCATCTTTCTTGTATTAATTCCCCAAATCCCAAAGATCATGAACCCAGCAGCAGTGTTTCAGCCTAAGTA